TTGACAGGTCCCGAGGGGCTTGGGTGTATTTTGTTTTGGATCATTGGTTGAGAGACTAGTAAGGTTAAGAAATTTTGGAGTTTGACCATGGTCAATATCGGGTCAAGATGACCTCTTTTCAATGTTTTGAGTGCGCGAGCAGGTCCGTAGCGTGTTTTATGATTGAAATTCATATATGGTTTGTGTCCGGGAGGTTTCGGATGGTTAACGGATCAAAAGTTGGACTTAAACAGCTACTGGAAATTTCTGCTGCTGGAAAAATCGAGGCCACGAAAAACCGAGTTCATGAAAAAATCCAAGGTCATGAAAAATCGAGGCATGAAAATCGAGGTCATAAAAATCAAGGATGGAGAAAATCGAGGTCATAAAAACTGAGGGCCGAAGGCCGAGGGCCTGGACAGAACTGTAAGTTATAAAGCATGGGACTTCGTCCCATTTTTCATTTTTGTCAAACTGGAAAATCGAGGCTGGAGAAAATCGAGGTCAAAAAAATCGAGGGCCGACGGCCGAGGACTGAAGGCCGAGGGGCTGGACAGAACTGTAAGTTATAAAGTAGGGGACTTCATCTCATTTTCCATTTTTGTCAAATTGGAGCTTGAGGAGAGGTGATTTTTGGGAGATTTTCAGAGAAAACATCGGGGTAAGTGTTCTCAACTCAATAATGGTTAGATACCCGAATCCATCATTTTTTTTCATCATTTAATTAGTGTTTTGAGATTGAAATTTGGGAAACTTTTAGAAATCTCATAGAAACGAATTTTTGAGATTTCGGTGTCGATTCAGAGTCTGATTTGAGTAAAACTGGTATGGTTGGACTCGTAATTAAATGGGTTATCGTATTTTATGAGTTGCACTGGATTCTGAGATGTGAGCCCCACGGGCGATGTTTGAGCTAAAATTTATATTTTAATGAAAAATTAGCATTTTCTTATGGAATTAATTTCAATAAATTTTATTGACTGAATCGAATTATTTATGGTTATATTCGAGCCATTTGGAGGCCAATTCACAAGGCAAAGGCTTAGCAGAATAAGAATTTTACGGTTTGAGGTAAGTAACAGTTTTAAATCTGGTCCTGAGGGTATGAAACCCCAAATTTTGTGTCATGTGATTATTTTGGAGGTGACGCACATGCTAGGTGACGGGCGTGCGGGCGTGCACCGAGGAGATTGTTACTTGGTCCGTCCCATGAAACTGTAAAGTTGAATAACTTGTTGTTAGCTATATGCTCTCTCTATGTGTTAAAGAAATTTGACTGTAAATCATGCTTAGGCTATGTGATAGTACTGTTGGGAACCGCAGAGGTCGCGTACTTGTTAAATTATTTACTAATTGATGCCTTGTACTCGGTCATGAGTTTTCTTGCGTATCATATTTCAGTCGTTCTTGATTTTTGTTGATACACTATGTTGTCTTTGTTTGGGCTGATCTTTGTGATTGCCGAGAGCCCGAGAGACTAGAGAGGTTGATGACTGAGCAAGGCCGAGGGCCTGTCGGTGAGGTATGGATATTATAGCACGTGAGTTATCCGTGCAGCATGTGAGTTGTTCGTGCGGGATATTATGGCACGTGAGTTATCCGTGCAGCACGTGAGTTGTCTGTGCGGATTATTGCGCTTGGTATGTAGGAACCCCTACGGAGTCTGTACACCCCCAGTGAGCGCGGGTATCCATTGAGTGTGAGTGCTAAGGGCTGAGAGCCGAATGGTTGAGCTGTTGTGACGAGTTGAGTGACTGTTGCCCTGAGAGGCTATACTTGATTTTCATTTGTTGTTGCACTTAGTTGCTATCTGTCATTGTTGTGAAATTCTCAGAAAGATTTTTATATCCGGATTACATAAACTTGAACTGTATAAAACTGGTTTGACTTAAACTGCTAGATTTGGAAGCATGTCTATTCTTTGGTGGAATTATTGAAAGTGAACTATAACTGTGTAGCTCGTCACTATCTTCAGTTCCTTATTTATTATTGTTACTTACTGAGTTGGTTATACTCATACTACACCCTGCACTTCGTGTGCAGATCCAGGTATTCCCGGATATAGCGGGTGTTGATTCTTTCGCACGATTGACTTCTCGGAGATTCAGAGGTAGCTGCCGTATTTCGCAGACCTTGCCTCTCCTTCCCTACCTTCGTATTTACTGCATTTAGTCTCAGACTATTATGGACCATATTTCCAGACTTGTATTCATATTAGATGCTCATGTACCTAGTGACACTGGGTTTTGGGAGTGTTTATATATGTATTTGTGAATTTTCTTCCGCTGAATTTAATCATTTTATTTTTAAACATAAAAGATATGGGAGTTTATTGAGATTGTCGGCTTGCCTAGTATTGAGATAGGCATCATCACGACAGGTGAGATTTTGGGTCGTGACAGCCCTATATATATTGGGCCTTTTGAGATTCTTGAGAGGGTTGGAGAGGTGTCTTACAGACTTGCACAACCACCTAGTCTTGCTGCAGTTCATCTAGTATTCTATGTTTCCATGCTCCGAAAGTATCACATCGATCCGTCTCATATGTTAGATTTTAGCTCAGTCCAGTTGGACAAGGATCTATCTTATGTTGAGGAGTCAGTGGCCATCTTGGACAGGCAGGTCCGAAAGTTGAGGTCAAAGAACATCGCGTCAGTGAAGGTATAGTGGAGGGGTCATCCGGTCGAGAAGGCGACTTAGGAGACCGAGCATGATATGTGTAGATGATATCCTCATCTTTTTCCCACTTCAGGTATGTCCCTATACTCGTTCGAGGACGAACATTTATTTTAAGAGGGGGAGGATGTAACGACTCTGGCAGTCATTTTGAGAATATTAGCCTCAAACCCTCTTGTAGTTGTATTTATAATATGTAATTACTTTTGGCTAGATTTGAGTCGTTTGGAGTTGGAAAGTTGAGGGAAAGGCATTCTTATCGACTGATTGAGCGAGATTTGAGGTAAGTGACTTGTTTAACCTTATGTGGGGGAAACTGCCCTTAGGTTTTGGTATTGTTATGATATTTGCAATACGTGAAGGACGTGTATGCGAGGTGACGAGTGCGTACTCAGGTTAAATGTTGAAGAATCTGGTTCTTGCTGAGTAGTTTTCTTTTAATTCATTAACTGAGTTACTCTAGCCTGTGTAGTCATCATATTTATCCTAATGTAGCATGCCTACGTGTCTTAACTCTTATTTGCAATTTTTGCAACATGCTTAGTTGAGTTACCTGCTTCTTTGATCTTGTATTTAGTCTTTAACTATATGAGTCCTTGTTGTAAACTCATTGTTCCGTATGTTATATGTAGTGTATTTACTTTTGGGACTACGAAGCGGTACCTCAGGAGTGTCGCTGTTGCATATTTACTTTTGGGACTACGAGGCGGTACCTCGGGAGCTCCCCCTATTGTGCATTTACATTTGGGACTACGAGACGGTATCTCGAGAGCGCCCCGGTTGTTTACCTTTATTCGTTGTTTTGTTACTTTTCTGTAACTTCTCATTGTTTAAATTCCTCGTCATTTCATTATATTGTTATATCTACTGTCTTGTTTCTTTTTTATTCTAGTAGGGCCCTAACCTGACCTCATCACTACTTTACCGAGGTTAGTCTTGGCAGTTAATGGGTACCGTTGTGGTGTACTCATACTATACTTCTACATATTTTTTTGTGCAGATCCAGGTTCTTTCTACCAAACCAGATACCAGTGAGCTGGATCGTACGTAGAGACTTCAAGGTATATCTGCCAGCGTCCGCAGACCTCGGAGTCCCTATCTATCCTTAATATGTTGCTTTCTTTATTTTACTAGACTCTGATGTATATATACACTTAACATTTTCTCTTTAGAGATTGTGACTTATTTCTATCGGGTTTTGGGAGTTGTAATTATTTGAATCGCAGTTCTTATTTATATTTCATGTGTTGAGGGTTGAGGTCAGTTTATATTCAGTTATTGCGCAAATTGTTAGGCTTACCTAATCTAGAGACTAGGTGCCATCACGACATCTTACGGAGAGAAATTGGGGTCGTGACATCGAATATTTTTAACCTTGATGCTTCTTAGATCAATTTTACCAACGGGCTTATTTTTGCTGAATTTCCTAGTGGGCTTAATTTTTTATAAAAAAACTTTTTTTTTCTTCAAATTTTTTCTTTATCAGTTTACTCCGTGGAAAGGAATATCTCTACCACTTTGGATGGAGCTGCTAGTTTTTTTTTTTTTTTTTGCAGCTAATTATTTTGCTTCGAAGGCATAGTTCCCGATTTTGGCAGCAATTCAAAAGCCAATATATGTACACAGAATTTAAATTTTAAGTATTGGCACTATAAATATCTTTTATATATATAATTGGTCTAATTTTATCGGTTATATCATATTTGGATCTCGTGCACAGATTATAAAGTCAAAGGTATCATAAGAGTAAGATTATATGCCTCTATATTGCTTAAATTGCTTGCATCAAGATCAAGTAATTAGGTGGAATGCACGTTTCATATCTCTGCCTCTCCCAAGAATGGTATGTACTGTACCTATCAACGATGCGAAATTCGTCTAAGTATCATATACACACCTTTTTCAAAAATGTGCTAGTACTTCTTTTGACTTGCCCTCATGTGCGCCTCTCGCAGACGAATACCGACTCAGTCCGCTCCTACTGCACGGGAGTCTCAGCCAGTCAGTGCTGGAGTTCGCCATCTATAATGTACATTAAATTAGTTCCCTGCACTTTTGTATTCTCCAATTATTTGATAAAGTGTTTTTTTTAAAACAAAAAAATGTACTCAAAATTACTTCGTTAAATGGGGAGCAGATATCCAAATACAAATTGTTTCAAAAAGTTTTAAAGAGACGTTTCTACATAATTATCTTAGAAAGTTCTGAAGCAACTGTCCAGCTTTGCTGATTCAGCTATATATTCCTCCATACTAAGCATATTGTCGTTGATAGAAATATACTAATTAATGAAAAATTATTATCCTGATATATCGAACAGATTTAGTTATATTTATGATGCGCTCATGTAATTTCATGTTAAATTAGAACATGATACGGAGACAGAGAGATGTTTACAAGTTTCGTTCTTCAGGAGCTTTAGGGAATTATTCTAAATTCTAATACAAAGACATAGAATAACCTTAATTAATTCCTTCCAAATTAAATACAGTTATAGCAACATTTGTAGGTTCCAGCTATGACGAATAAATTTTGCTTTGGCTATGGAATTTATCAAATCTATTTTCCTTTTTCTTGTCCCATTTTCTGATGATGAGGTACATGAAGAAGACGATGGCTGGGGTGAGCGCGTACGGCTACGTCTCGCTGTAACTCTAGCCGGCTTAGGAATGTTTGATCCAATTAAGTGAGGAAAATTGAGCCGAGCTCTCGAGCCGCGGATTTTGAAAGCGGCTTGATCGTAAGCCAATGCTGCGTCCTCTGGGGTCTCGTAAGTTCCTAGCCATAATCTCGCGCCTCTTCTCTCCGGGTCCCTTATCTCCGCCGAAAACGTCCCCCACGGCCGCCGTTTAACTCCTATGTACCGTCTCCAATCTTGTGTCGCGTTTTTCTCACGCGCCACGACATGCCCCTTTGTTTCCTCCTCGGACTCGGACTTTTCTTCGAGATTTTGTATTGTTTCCTCAAAGTTTTCATCCCAAAGAGAGGTATCCAAGCTATTTTCTGCTGAAGGGAAGCTGCCAAAACTTGAGCTAGGACTATTAGGCAATGCGTTACTTGAACTCATCGGCGAAAAAATTTCAGAAAAATCGGAATCATAATTCAGAAGATGGTTTTCTATTGATTGAAGGAAATCAAGCTCAGAGAAAGAGAAGGTTGCATTAGCGGGATTCATTTACTTTTCTATAGATATTTGGATGAGTAGTTTCTTTCACTTTCACTTACTAGGGTTTATTAATTCTGGATGAATAGAATTGTTGATATCCTACGTCTATTTATATGCTTGGCCTATGATTGGAGCTCTAGTCCCTACCTTTATTTTTTGTAAGGAATTTCCGTGAAGGTGCCATTTTAAGCACATTTATGTTATGCATTTTAGTTTTTATTATCCTAATATTTGACGAGGAATAAAATAATATACTTATCTTCAATTTCAAGAAATGATATATTCCTCCTTGAAAAAATGTAAGATTTTTTCCCATCAAGTAAAGTCAAGTTCATTTCTTAAAATTTCAGAATTACTTGAGATCAGTTAATTTATAACGGAAATATTTTTTTCATGGGCAAGCTTAGCATATGTATACTTCTTTGTTTTTACTTTTGGTTTTACTGATTGCATTTGCTGTCAAATGTAAGAAACATTTATATTCTATTTTAAGAAAGAAAGGTCCATTAGATTTTCAAAAAGGTGAAAATATATTAAAAATAGCACGCAATATTAGACAGGAAATATAAATTAAATGGGGTATGGCTACAGCCTACAGGTTGCTTCTCTCTTTTTCTGCTCATCTTTTGTTTAAGATGCAATTAATGCTTAAATACAATATTACTTTGTTGACAAGGGGGACATAATCTTATAGATCTTTGTTGCACATGGCTTGCGAGGAGCTCTCCAAAGGGTGAGGGGAGAACATTATCAACAGATAAAGAATTGAACTGTATCCCATGTGTGCTTGGTACAATATGTTACCTATTTTTATAACCAATCAAACGCTTGCAAATGATCCAGAAAATGCTTTTACGATGCAAAGCACAATCTGCAGAATACATTTTTTTGAGGAAAATGTTTTTCACCCAACAAAATACACAAGGAAAATGATGTTTTTGCACTAAATATATTATTCTATTATCTGACTTATTTTACTTCCGAATGTAGATGAATTGCAATTGATTTCTCCTTCTTTTCTTTTTTTTTGGTAATTAAAGGATTTTATTTACCAAGTATAAGTATTTACACACTATTAAATAAACTGAGACTAGCTTTCTATCGCAACTCCTGCTGGACATGAAGCCCGGAGATATCTCGCCTTGCTACAATTTCTCTCCTACTGCTTTTTCCACCTAAACTATATCTGGGTACCAATTCAGTGCAATCATGCATCTATCTAACCTAGGAAACATCTTGGCTCTAACATGTATTTCTTGGATGATTAGTCTGAGAATAACATTAGTAGATCTCCTATTCTTCTGGAAGATGACATTGTTCCTCTCTTGCCAAATATGATAAACTGCTGCTGCTAATACCATTCTGCATATTGCTGCTCCTCTACTTTTACCTTTAGCCACCTTTTCTATCCACTTCAGCTCTTCCCGCCAATCTTTCTTTGTTCTCTGAATGCCTTGCCAGTGTAGAAGCTGCTGCCATATATTTGTTGACACTTAATAGTAAAAGAATAAGTGTTCTAAAGTTTCATTTTCTCTTCGACAGAGTGAGCATATTTTGTCTGCAATGATTCCCATCTTGCTAGCCTTTCTTTTGTTGCTAACCTATCTTGTATTTCCAACCTTAGTATGAATATCCACTTTGGAAGTCCATGGTTGTTAGAAACTAGTTTCCTCCATGACACCTTCTGAAATTTCCCTTGCATAGCTTTGTACATGTGTCTCACAGAGAATCTCTCCATCTTTTTCACCTCCTCTTTTGTATATCCAGTAACCTCAAAGTATCTTCTTGCCTTGAATATCTTTTGGATAACCCACGATGCACTTTTTAGTTCTGTGTTCCATATAGTGTTCCCCTTTATGTAATATGCGTGAATCCACTATACCCACAGCTTTTTCTTCTTTGTACAAATATTCCATAAGAACTTGCAAATAGCTGCTTTGTTCCACAACTCCACATTTATGAAGTTTAGCCCTCCTGCTACCTTTGAAAAACACAGTTTATCCCAGGAAATCAATGCCTTTTTGGTAGGTTCAGCAGTCCCCGGCCATAAGAATCTCTTGCATATTGTTTCTATGAACTAGATAATTTTCTTTGGCAGAATAAAGATCTGAGCCCAAAATATTTGAATTGCAACTAGAACACTCTTGATTAGCATTGCTTTGCCTGCATATGAAACAAACTTTATTGTCCAACATTGGATATTGCTTAACATTCTATCAATTAAGGGTTCACATTGCATAGGTGATAGCCTCTTTGTGCTCAATGGGACACCTAGGTACCTGAAAGGTAGTTCTCCTTTAGTGTATCCTAGCATGTCCATAATATGCTGCTGTGTCATGTTGTTCACTCCTCCAAAGTAAATATAGCTTTTATTTGGATTTGCAATTAGTCCTGATGCTGCAGAGAATATTTGAATCTGTTGATGAAGAATCTTGACTGATTGTATGTCTCCTCTACAAAAAAGAAGTAGATCATCAGCAAATCCTAATTGTACTAGGTTAGACTTTAGCATATTTTGGGTAAACTTTAAACTTCTTGTTCTCCTTCAGTGGCTTCAGTATTCTGTACAGATACTCCATGGCCATCACAAATAAAACTGATGATAGGGGATCCCCATGTCTAAGTCCTTTCCTTGCCTCAAATGGTTTAGTTGGCTTGCCATTAATTATAACAGAGTAGGAAACTGCACTAATACACACCATTATCCACTTCACAAAATTTTCAGGGAATCCCAGCAGTTTCATCACTTGCTCAATGTATACCCATTCCATAGAATCATAAGCTTTCTACATATCGATCTTGAGCATACAACTTGGCGATATGTTCTTCCTCCCATAACCTTTAACCAATTCATGACTCATAATGATGTTATCAGTAATCATTCTACCTGGGACAAAAGCTATTTGGCAAATATCTATTGGGTCTGGCATAACTTCCTGTAATCTTGCTTTTAGAACTTTTGATATTATCTTGTAGAGCACTGTGCATCAAGATATAGGCATGAACTCCTTGATGCTAGTTGGGTTCTTGACTTTAGGTATCAAGGTAATAGTGGTGCAGTTAATGGCTTTACATATTTCTGCATTTTCAAAGAACTCCATCACTGCTGCAGTAACCTCATCACCGAGTATATGCCATGTCTTCTTGAAGAAATAGGAGTTATATCCATCACATGTCGGTGCTTTATTATCATCAATGTCTAGTACTGCTTTCTTTACGTCCTCTCTAGTAACTGGTTTGATTAGTTGTAATTTTTGCTGCCTGCTCAACATATAACCACTCTGCATGATCTCTGGGATAACCACTGGTGATTGTGAAGTTCTTGTGCCAAGTAGCTTTTTGTAGAAACTCAGTATGTCCTCTTCTACTTCATTTACACTTTGGAGTATTTGCTCTACACTGTTGATTAGTCTGCCAATATGATTCTTTGCTTGCCTATTTTTCATACAGGCATGAAAGTATGATGTGTTAGAATCCCCTAGTTTAAGCCACTTGATTCTTGATTTCTGCTTCAGTACACTCTCCTCCACCTCCAACCATTTTGCCAGTTCAAGTTTTGCAGCCTTTTCTTGTAATATTGTCTCATTGTCATTACCTAGAATTGTCATATGAGCCTGGATACCTTCTAATTTATTCCTTGCTACTTGGATCTTGTGCCCAATACTGCTAAATTCTTGATTGTTCAGCTGCTTTAGATCTCCTTTTAGCATTTTGAGCTTACTCCACACCTTTAGCATTGCAGTTCCCCGTTGCCTCTTTCTCCAGCAGTGCTTAACTATGTCATCAAAGTCTTTGTGATTTTCCAAACTGTTGAGAAAGTTGAAAGGTCGCCTACCTTCTTGGCTAGTGTCATCAATAACTAGGCTTAAAGGACAATTATCTGAAAAACCAAGGTACATATTGATCCCCTCCATGGTAGGCCATTTTTTTAATCCACTCTGCATTTACCAGTATTTTATCAATTATACTATGAACATGGTTATTTGTCCAAGTAAACTTTCTCCCCACTGTTCTGAGTTCATCTAAACCAACATTTATTATGAAGTTTTTGAAATCTCTTACCTCTATCTCTTGTACTGCATTCCCCTGCACTCTATCCTCACTAGATAGAATAATATTAAAATCCCCCATTATTAAGCTCGGGCCATTGTCTCCAGCCATAGTTCTCCTCAAATCCTCCCATAGTATCTTCTTGTCTTGTATAGTATGCATTCTATAAACAGCACTAAAGTTAAACTTGATTCTGTACTAGTTCATGGTCACCTGTCTTACAATATATTGCTCATGTATTCGAAACATCTCAAACCCCACCTTTGTTTGATCCTATACTACCCATATCCTGCCTCCTGGATGTAACGACCCAACTTGTCGTTTAAGAATTTATGCCCCGTTCAGTGACATAAGGTATCGAGCAGCTTCGTAATATGTATTATGACCCGTGAGTGTGGTCGAGTTTGATTTTTGAAAGATTCAAAATTCAATTAAAAGAACAATTCTCATTTTTGAAGCTTAAATGGAAAAAATAATTAACCAGAGATTTGACTTATGTGTAAACGACCTCGGATTCGAATTTTGATGATGTCAATAGCTCCGTATGGTGATTTTGGACTTAGGAGCATGTCAAAAAAATTATTTGGAGGTCTGTAGTGGAATTAAGCTTGAAATGCCGAAAGTTGAATTTTTGGGAAGTTTGACAGGGGGTGACTTTTTGATATCAAGGTCGGAATTCGATTCTGAAAATTGGAATAGCTTCATTATGTCATTTATGGCTTGTGTGCAAAATTTGAAGTCATTTCGGATTGATTTGATTTATTTCGGTACAAGATATAGAATTTGAAAGTTCAAAGTTATAAGGCTTGAATTGAGGTGTGATTCGTAGTTTTAGCGTTGTTTGATGTGATTAGAGGCTTCACCTAAGTTCGTATGATATTTTAGGACTTGTTGGTATATTTGGTTGAGGTCCTGAGGGGCTCAGGTGAGTTTCGGGGTGGTTTCGGACCATTTTTAGACCATTTTTAATTGCTGGTTTCTGCCTACAGAGGTGTGCATCGCGATCGCGAACGTTTGGTCGCGTTCACGAAGAGCAAACTGCAGTTTGGGGCCTTGTGAATCACGATCGCGTAGAACAAATCTCTATTGCACTGGCCCAACTTTGGAAGCTTATATCTCGCAATCTATAAGGAATTTAGAGATGATCCAAACACGAAAGTTGTAGCCCTTGATGTCTAGTTTTCAGAACAGTAAACCATTTGTCATTTGGAGTTGTATACAAAACGTTATGGTGGATACACTATAGGCTATTTGGGAAGAGTTTGGAAATCTCTGTTGCACATGGCTTACTTTGAAAGCTTATATCTAGAAATCTATAAAGAATTAGGAGATGATCAACAAATGAAAGTTATAGGTCTTGATGTCTAGTCTTCAGAAAGTTAAACCATTTGCAATTTGAAGTTTCGTACAAAACCTTATGACCATTAAACTAGAGGATGTCTGGAAGAGTTGGGGGAGTTTGTTCTTCGCGATCGCGATTGGTTTTCCGCGATCGCAAAGAGAAATTTTGGGGCTAAAAATTTTTGTGCTTCGCGATCGCGAAGAGTAAATACCTGGGCAGTAGCTATATTTTGAGGTTTCAACCATTTTTGACATATTTGAAGCTATAGAGCTCGGATTTTCACCATATGGATTAGGGTAAGTGTTCTATATCCTAAAGTGTTTATATTTCATCAATCTATGATTATATTCATCATTTAATTCGGATTTTAATGGAAGAAATCAAGATTTCTGTAAAATTTTTCAAAAACAAAAATTTAAGATTTGGAAGTCGATTTGTTATTGGAATTCGATAAAATTGGTATGGTTGAACTCGTATCGGAATGAGTGTTCGGATTTCATGAAAATTATGTCGAGTTCCGAGAGGTGGGTCCCGCATTGACTTTTGTTGACTTTTTGGAATAAATTTTTAAGTCGACGTATTATTATCCAGAATTATTTCCGGCGAATTTTAATGGAGTTATACAATTAATTTGGATAGATTTGAGCTATACGGAGATCAATTCAAGCAAGAAGGCTATTTTGAAATATCAGCCTAACTTCAAAAAGGTATGTGTCTTGTTTAACCTCGAGTGGGGGAATTACCCCTTAGGCATTGAGTCTTATGTGCCATTTGTGAAATGTGAAAAGCCGTGTACGCGAGGTGACGAGTACGTACTCGGGCTTATGCATGCAAAATTCATTGAATTAAAGTCTTAAGCATTATTGTATAGTAAATTAAAAAATTATAGAAAACTATTAAATCATCTGCTTGCCATGCCTAAATTCTTATTGTTGAATTTATTTTTATATGATAATTTGATGTGATTGTTACTTGAAATATTTATGAAATTTTGTGAGTATTGTTGGTTTAATATTTCTTGGAAATTAATTCCAATATGAATTTTCTTGTGCAAATAATTAACTTAAGCGAGCTTAAGAATAAGTATTAATATAATTATCTAAATTTGCATTAATGAAGGTTTTGCTTTATGTTGAGTAATTTCTATCTCTATTGATTGTTTTTGGGTGTTATATACGTTGTGTGGAGCCTTGGGCTATTTGTTGTGAAATTAATTAATTTTTGTTATATCTTTGGAATTTGGTTGTGGCCATTGGGCAAATTATGATATGAATTGATTTTATTATGTTGTCATGTTAATTTTCGTGTTAATTGTTGTGTTGTGTGAGTTATTATTTTAGGGAGATAAGGGTGGCATTTCACCGTTGATATTATGTGGGTAT